ATATTACAAACAGGATTGGTGACAAAGCGCAGCCCTGGCGGAGGCCAACCCTCACCGGAAATGGGTCCGACTTACTGCCGAGGACCCGGACACAGCTCTCGCTTTGGGAGTACAGAGATTGGATGGCCCTGAGTAGAGACACCCTCACCCCATACTCCCGCAGCACCTCCCACAGTAACTCCCTGGGAACTCGGTCATACGCCTTCTCCAAGTCTACAAAACACATATAGACCGGATAAGCGTATTCCCAGGCCCCCTCCAGGATCCTTGCGAGAGTAAAAAGCTGATCCGTCGTTCCACGACCAGGACGGAATCCGCATTGTTCCTCCTCAATCTGAGGTTCGACAATCGGCCTGACCCTCCTTTCGAGTACCTTAGAGTAAACTTTCCCGGGGAGGCTGAGTAGTGTGATGCCTCTGTAATTGGCACACACCCTCTGATCCCCCTTTTTAAAAAGGGGGACCACCACCCCGGTCTGCCACTCCTTCGGCACTGTTTCCGACTTCCACGCAACGTTGATGAGACGTGTCAACCATGACAGTCCCTCAACACCCAGAGCCTTCAGCATTTCCGGGCGGATCTCATCCACCCCCGGGGCTTTGCCACTGTGGAGTTGTTTGACGACCTCAGTGACCTCCCCCCGGGAGATTGGTGTTGATCCCCCGTCATACTCCAGCTCTGCCTCTAACATAGAGGGCGGAGTTGTCGGGTTCAGGAGTTCCTCAAAGTGTTCCTTCCAACGCCCTAACACTCCATCAGTTGAGGTCAACAACGTCCCATCCTTACTGTACACAGCTTGGATGGTTCCCTGCTTCCCCCTCCTGAGGTGTCGGACAGTTTTCCAGAACAACTTTGGTGCCGCCCGAAAGTCTTTCTCCATGTCTTCTCCGAACTTCTCCCACACCCGCTGCTTTGCCTCGGCCACGGATGAGGCTGCTGCCCTTCGGGCCTGTCGGTACCTTGCAACTGCCTCGGGAGTCCCCCGGGATAACAAATCCCTGAAGGCCTCCTTCTTCAGTCGGACGGCTTCCCTGACCACCGGTGTCCACCAGGAGGTTCGAGGGTTACCGCCCCTTGAGGCACCTAGGACCTTGAGACCACAGCTCCCCGCCGCGGCTTCGGCAATAGAGGCTTTGAACACCGACCACTCTGGTTCAATGTCCCCAACCTCCACAGGAATGCCCGAAAAGCTCCGCCGGAGGTGTGAGTTGAAGGCCTCCTGAACTTGGGCCTCCTCCAGACGTTCCCAGTTCACCCGAACTACACGTTTGGGCTTACCAGGTCTATCCAGAGGCTTCCCCCGCCACTCGACCCAACTCACCACCAGATGGTGATCAGTTGACAACTCCGCCCCTCTCTTTACCCGAGTGTCCAAAACATACGGCCTCAGGTCCGATGATACGATAACGAAATCGATCATGGACCTTCTGCCTAGGGTGCTCTGGTACCACGTACACTTATGAGCATCCTTATGTTCGAACATGGTGTTTGTTATGGCCAATCCATGACTAGCACAGAAGTCCAGTAACAAACCACCACTCCGGTTCAGATCAGGGGGGCCGTTCCTCCCAATCACGCCCCTCCAAGTGTCTCCATCATTGCCCACATGTGCGTTGAAGTCTCCCAGCAAGATTAAAGAGTCCCCTTCAGGAGCCCCATACAGGACTCTTTCCAGGGTCTCCAAGAAGGCCGTATACTCTGAACTGCTGTTGGGTGCATAAGCACACACAACAGTCAGAGTTTTCCCCCCCATAACCCGCAGGCGTAGGGAGGCGACCCTCTCGTCCACTGGGGTAAACTCCAACAACGAAGCACCTAACCGGGGACTTGTGAGTATCCCCACACCCGCCCGGCGCCTCACACCTTGAGCAACTCCGGAGAAGAATAGAGTCCAACCCCTATCCAGAAGTAAGGTTCCAGAGCCGACGCTGTGCGTAGAGGTGAGCCCAACCAGATCCAACTGGTAACGCTCCACCTCCCGCACAAGCTCCGGCTCCTTCCCCCCCCAGAGAGGTGACGTTCCACGTCCCCAAAGCCAGCTTCTGTCGCCCGGGTCTGGTCCGTCGAGACCCTCCGCTTTCACTGCCACCCTTCTGGCAGCGCACCCGACCCCATCGATGTTTCCCGTAGGTGGTGGGCCCGCGGGACGGAGAAGCGGAGGTGTTGCCCACGTTGCCTTTTCGGGCTGGGCCCGGCCGGGCTCCGTGGCAAGCCCGGCCACCAGACGCTCGCCGACGAGTCCTCCTTCTGGGCCTGGCTCCAGAAGGGGACCCCGGGCTTCCTCCGGGCCGGGTATCCTCACTTCTTAGTTTTTCTTTCATGAGGTCTTTTGAACCAATCTTAGTCTGGCCCCTTGCCTGAGACCAATTTGCCATGGGAGACCCTACCAGGAACACAAGGTTCCAGACAACACAGCCCCCAGGTTCATCAGGGCACACAAACCTCTCTACCACGGTAAGGTGCTGGTTCTTCAGAGAGGAACTTACTACTTTTAAATCCAGGCTGAAGACTTACCTTTTTGTCGCTGCTTTTAATTGAAACTGAGCCGTTGTGTTCATCAGTAAAGTGGAACTTCTGTGTGAACTATTCATATCTTAAACCGCACTGTAACTTTTTATTCATGTATTTTTTCTTTTAATGTTTCTTTTATTATCTTTTACTGTTTTTAAATGCCTTTGTCTGAATGTCATTTTTGTAAAGCACCTTGAATTGCCTTGTGTTGAAAGGTGCTATATAAATAAACTTGCCTTGCCTTGCCTTACATGAAATAGGTCGTTACATTTCTCCACTCATGAAGGTTTTACGTGTCTTAAAAATGGCAGTGGCTAACAGGTAACTAAATTAGACTATTTTATGTAATCGCACAAGTGTGTCATTAGCTTATAGGTGTTGGCGTTAACCTAGTGACCGTGCTATACAGTAGCTAGCTTATTACTTTAGCGGATTGCATTTAAATACAACACAAGTTCTGATAATTTGTTCTGATTATCTTGCTCAACAAAACAGGTATAAAAAGTTGTTGGCCACCAATCTTATTTTCTGCAATAATCCAAAACCCCATGGAAAATAGCCATTGGGCTTTAGTAAACAGAACAAAGGTTATGCTAACTTCTGGGTTGGTTAACAACATGTGCCTCACTTTGTGTTGGGGTTCAAATCAAGTAAACTCTACTGCATTGAAATGGAAATGATCAAATGTCTAGTGAATGTGAATAGTTTGACTCATACTAACCGCTAAGAGGAAGCTAGTTTTCAGTGGCTACACAGATACATTAGCTCCTCTGACTGGCTCACAAAAAGCTCTAAAGTAGTATTGGATTTCTTATGTTAACACATTAAGTGATTGTATTGTTACTGCAGTGTAAAACAGGCATTTCTAGGTTAGTGAGAAGCATAGTAATAGATTTGTGGATGTAGTGGTCCATCACTTCCCTTACGCATATCCTCCCGGTGCTTCCGTCTACCAATCGATGACTGTTATCTGTCTTTGATTTTAGGCCACATCACTCGCACTAACATTTTAGTATAAAAAGGGCCGATCTGCTCGGTATGCACCAGAAGCATCGCACTTGTTGGATTCTGTTTTGCACCATTTGTTTATACACCCTTCAAAGGAAACAGGTAACTACTCTTTTCTTCCATATCTTTTTAGATTTGGGGTGTTTACTAGTCTGTAGATTTCTTACAAATTAACAAATAGTTACCATTAGATAAAAGAATCTGCTATTATTTAACATAACATTATATATATACTGTATATATATAATAATATTTTAAACATATGGATAATTAGTCATTCAAAATAAACGTCCTTCTGTAAGTGAACAACATTGGGAATTTCATGGTAATATTTACAAAACAGGTTTTCTTTCTAAAAATCTAGAATTTGTTCTCCTACTGTGAGTCAGACATCTACACTTCAGTAGCACAAAATGTTGCTAGTTTCATTTCTTTCTATATTTTGTAAGTTGTTAGTGAGGGTTAAGCGGGTAAATAATGTATAGCATGATTTAAAGTGCATTTTATCTAAAAAATAACAACATGGCAATCTTTTTTTTAAAAGCTTTTGATGTTATTTTCTGATAAATGGAGTGAAGATTCAAAATCCTCTATGTCATAACCTTTGAATTGCACATGTCAACTAAATGAAACAAGCATTTTGAACTCAGTACATCCAATGTTCAGATTTCTATTTTGGCGATGATAACATAGCACATAATTATTTAATAAGATAGAGCCTCGTTTGCAGTTCAGGAAACTTGATCAACCAAAAATCTTCATCCTAATTTTAGAAATCAACTGAGGAGCCTTCTCGCATATAACTTTTTGTATATGTTTATCCAATTCACCTCTATGTCACCCTTCAAGTAAATAACTTTTCTCTTCCTGTACACAGTCATGTCAGGGAAAGTCATCGTGGTGTTTGCACTGTTGATGGCTCTGCTGGTATCATCCGGAGAGGCCAGAGAGGCTGGTCTCCTGCAGCAGCTGCTGGCAAAGAGAGACCCGGCTGGCAGACAGGAGATGGCGCCGCACGCCCCCCCTGCACGGCCGGAGAGAAGGGCACACCTATCCGAGGACGATAGGGAGATTATGACAAAACAAATAATGCAAGCAATTTCAGGTATGCTGCTGGTCGGGGCGTGAGTGTTCCTCTGATTGTTTGATTGTATAAATGAGTGGGCAGGGATCCAAAGAGATGCTCTGATGTGTGTACTGAAGCCTTGTGTGTGGTTCATGTAGGAATGGTTTGTTCACAGAGATGAACTCTGAGTGCATGTCGGACCGGGACTACCAGGGCTGGGTGGACTTCGGACGCCGGGACGCAGAATGAGACACGCCGACAGCGACCCGACAGCTCAGACTCACCTGCTCTTTGTTCACATTTTCTATAAAAGTCAATGTTCTGCTTTCACTGCAACTTTATAAATAAAAACATTTTGCTGAATAATCAGTCTTCTTCACTGCTACGTTGTAAAAGAGAGAAGTGTAAAACTGGGTAGAAATGCAACGTTTTTATTCACAGGTAGTATACACACGTCACTGACATTAACAGTGTGATGCTAACACAGAACAGAGCAAACACTAGTGCAGTTTGGTTGATTTACGTCATAACACATTATAAGGATAACCTGTGTTTATGATTTCTTCCCTTTCAAATCCACAGTATCCTATGCCTTTTTGCTACAGTTGATTGTTCGACAAATTTCAAAGAAACATGCCGTTTTAAATCACTCGTCTCGTCTTTAAATAAGGATTCCCCTTAAAACACAGGGAATTCACTTTGAATGCCCTTTCTTTTTCATTATATCCAAGCAATTTCAAATGTCCTGATGATGTGAAATGCAGCAGATTTGTACAAGCAAGATTCTCAGTCAACGCAGTGCAGTAAATATATATTGCATTTTAAAATCCCTTTCACTGTCTTTAATACAGTGAGGCAACCTGATTTATTTTTGGTGAGTTTTGCTCACGATCAAGTTAAAAAAGTAAATTCTCTGTGCAGCCAGAACAAATCAACTTCAGAGCAGACGGCTGGATGTCAAAATCATCAACATTGTATATTTCAGTCAGTGCATAATCGCAATGCCTCTCAATACAACATGCTCTGCTCAGTGTAGCAGCTAATAAGCAAGAAGACCAGAGTGTTTTTCAGTGGTTATTTTTTTTTAAAGTACTTCAGTGTGAAAGCATTGGTTTGGTTTGATGTTCAAACTAACAATAATTTACTGCATATAGTTTTTTCATAACTTCCCAAAAGACAATTGTGTTACAGTATATACAAGGGATGTTCCAGTTTTGGAAAAATGACCTTTTAAAAGAGACATATCATGTTCATTTTCATGTTCATACTTGTTATTGGGTTTCTACTGGATATACTTTTATATGTCTGAAACGTTTTAGCCCCCGTCTCTTTAAGGACACCTCTTAAACAAAGTACAGTCTACTCTGATTGGCTTATGGGAATAATATGGTGCAACTTGGTGAAGGTAAGGGGAGCATGGCAGCCCAAAGAGTTTTATTTGACAGTTTTCGGTTGTTCACTCCAGACAAGTACATTATAAGTGTGTTTTTACATGATATGTCCCCTTTAAAACCGGCGGCAGGCAAAATATGTATAATAACAATCACAAAACACGGTATAAAAGGTTTTTTCTTCATGATTTTTTTGTGAAAAAATAAGCTGTTTCTGCAGGTTGCAGTCAAACAGACTGGTGATCAGGTGATGTTCCTGAGATGAATGTCACACACACAGCTACTGTACACACATTCATACAAAATAATATAACTGTACACTACCAACAACTTTAAATATGGCTCTAGCACATTCTGTGGCGTTTGTCAGAGCTGTGGGTTCTGAACGGCACACAGCGGGGAACACATGGCTGGTTTTAAAGTTAATACACTGAGAAGCAGTCGGTTTAAACTCTTCAGAGGAGGTTTGACTGCTCCTCTCTCCCACTGTGGCCCGTCATCCCCAAAGCTGCCACTCTGTGCAACCCCAGACCTTGAAGTTTCTCCACCAAGTTCAAACTGAAAGCGTTCCTTCTCCCCTCTTTGTCAGATTGTAATCCTCCACTGTTGTCCCTCCCTGTGAATGGTGGAGGTTCTGCACTGTGGCTGTAGTGCAGGCAGTGGTGAGGATGAGGAGAAGATGAGATGCCACGCTCTTGCAAAAGCTGCAGGAGTCCCAGCGATGAAGTGGTTACATTTGAGGTGGCGGTCCGGCCTCCCGCGCCAACGTGCTGCTGGTGGGATGGCGATGAAGTGTTCACAAGCTCACAGTTCCTACAAGATGGCAGGCCGAAAGAGCGAAGGCTGCAAACAGATACAAAATAACAATAATTAAAAAGAAGATCACAATAGATAAGAAACACGTTTTGTTTTTGCACAAGCTCATACACAAATAATAAAACAGGCAAGACAATGTTAAAAAAAACAGTTCATTTGTTGTTAGTGTCTGTTGACCTTGCTGTGAGATGGAAAAATGTGAGTCAGCTGTGATCAGACAGGATCTGATGGTTATCTGAGACGAGAACCTAGAAAGGTTAAGCGAGATTAAAATGTGGAGTACTACAAACCAGTTAGTGCAGTTAGGAGGAGGAGACGGAAGCACAGTGCGTGATGTTATCTTGTTAAACTAACTTGGCACTGTGCCTTTCTCAAAGCATTTTAATCCAGCATTCAGTGTAACCATAACCCTTCGACTCTTACTTTGCCTCGAAGGCGCCTTTTAGAGTTGGAGGAAGAGCCTCGACAGGCGCTTTCTGCCGCTGTGGGGTGTAAAGAACACTTGGTAAAGGGGGAGAAAAAACAGCATGGAAGACAGGAAACCAGGAGTCATTCAGTGAAGGTCACCCTGCGAACAAAAGTTAAATGAACACAAGTACTTCAAACTCAAATTCAGGGCTTCAGGGGCCCCTATTATGCTTTGGGTTTGTTTCACTTGTCTGTAGTGTGTTCTATAAGTTTGTGTGCATGTAAATAGTCTGCAAAGGTTAAAATCCCAAATGTCACTATGTAACACTCGCACTTCTATTGGTTAGCGCTCCAACACATTGTATGTGATAGGCAAAGGGGCGGGACATCACACCTCAAGCGACCTTGAGGTTATGAAAGGCACTATATAAATTCAAGTTATTATTATCTCTTAGAGATAGACCAATCACAACAGAGCCATCCAGCTAACCAAACTCTAGTTCAGGTACATTAAAGAATGGAGACATACAAAAAAACATTGAGAAAAATAGCAAAATAGAGCCCCTTTAAGAAACACACAAAAACAACACAGCAAGCTTAACAAAAACACAAAGTCACTAATACAGCACATCACAGTATGTATATTCTTACCTAGTGGAGAAGGAGGACATGAGGAGGGAGGGTTGGAGGACTTGGCAGGTGGTTGTTAGATGTGAGGGGGGGGTCTGAGGGAGTTTGGATGGAGAGGCTGCGAGGTCATGGAGGGAGAAAAGGCACATTATACTACACGTGAAAAGGATGTTCAACGAGAAACTACGAGAGCTAATTCAGCTGAAAGTTACACTACAATTAAAAGGGGAGTGAAGTTGAAAAATGAAGGAGAAAAAGCCATGGATTTGAAGGGGATTGATGCAGTTGTTAGTAGTGTGTGTGGTGTGTTTGGGGGTCGTACCCATGCCATGTGCTCCGGAGAGCTGCGACAGGTCAGGCTCGTCCTCCTCCAGGTCGTTCAGACTGTAGACGTGCTGTATGTCCACCTCCAGCTCCCTGAAGTCCTTCGTCAGGACGCCGGGGCGGGGGTGCAGGATGCCCCCCAGGTTGGGTTTGGCCAACTGCTGCCACTGGTGCAGAGTCACCGAGCCTGAGGAGAGTCAGAGAGGACGGAGCAGGAAGCATGTTAGCACATCATTTTATATTTGTACGTTGTTGCTCGATCTATGTTGCTTACCTTATATTGCTTATTTTGTTTGCTTGTTTACTTTTTTTCATTATGCTTATAATGCTTATCCAGGTCATATTTTTCCAGTAAGCCAGACGATTTTGTGTGTGTTGTTTCAGAGAGAAGATTTTTAGATTTTAGGCCTAGTTTTGTTATATTTATCTATTTTATTTGGCACAATCTCCTTTGTCTTCACCTCCCCCTCCCTTAAAGAATATGTGTTGACATTCTTTTCTTTTTCACTTTCACCCTGACTCCCTTAACTGTATGGGTTGTTGTGTGTTACTGTCTCTATTTCCCCCTATCATTTAATGGGGATGTAACACAAATCATTCATGTACATCTTTTGTTTTAACTAGTTTAAAAAAAATGTTTATTGTTACTGTATAGCATGGGTAAAAATATCCTTCTTTTTTTTTTTTAAATCAGCAGTGCCTTTTGGTAATTAACCGGGTTTGCTAGGAGGGTACAACAAATATAAATACATTTTATTGGAAGAGATATGAATTCAGGAAAGGGCACGAACCGAAATCCCAAACGGCAATGGTTGTGGCATAAGTAGGCGAATGTTAATATTAAAATGTAATCAAGTTATGTAATATTACCTTGGTTCAGTGGTTATAGGCAGACTGCTTATGTTCTATACTAACAATACATGTTCATTTTCATGTTTTACATCTATTTTTGCTAGCATTTTTTCTTTGTCCCTACACTTTTGTTGTATGATTTCACATTTCTCAGAGTGTTACTGCAACCATCTAATATGAACTACCTTTTGGTGACATCATCAAATATAGATACATATCATATGATAAATAGTTTTACTTTTGTATGGAGTAATTTAACTATTGTTTGTTTCCCTTTTTCTTTAAAGAAAACATTTGATTTGTAAGAGCAGGGCACATTTGTACCTGTGGTTTTAGTTTAGTATCACAGACTTCAACAATGAGCATTGATTGTCTTCATGTATTTTTACCAGTACATTTCTGTGCTCCATTTTGTCTCCACATAAGCTGGAATAAACTCCAAGAGACTGACACGACGCTGCATCAAGCTGAAGTGTTTACCTTCCAGTGGTTTGACGATCTGCAGGCGGTCGGGCAGGTAGGACCTGGATCCTCCTGAGGAGCCACACGAGTGCCGGGAGCTGCCGTTGGAGTAGTTGGTGCCGGTGGAGGTGGCCGGGCTGGAGACCAGGCTGTCGTTGGGCGTCAGGAAGCCGCTGGAGCCTTCTGCCTCCTCGCAGTCCGCTGCCAGGGCGTGGAGTTTCCGCTCACGCTCCACGTCGAAGAACGGCCGCTCAGAGGAGTGGCTCTGCTGGCGGGCCGACAGGCTGCGCAGGGCGGCCTCCAGGTCCTGACCCCCGGGGGTGCCCGGCTGGCCCAGGCGCTTCGGCCCACTCCCACTGCAGGGAATATATTGGTTCATTTGGTTAACATAATCTATGACTTTGAATGTTTGCCAACAACCAGTTTGTATATGACCCAGACAAGAGGCTGACGTCATTTAACTGTGACCATATCGACATATTGAAGAATAAAGTTTAAATATAGGTTAAAAATAAAAACACGATAACTCCAAAGAGGACACAAAATATTACACTTGTTTTTTTCATTGCTTTGCGTTAATTTACAACGACAGGACGTCGGCAAAAGAAACAAGGGGATATTTTAGATTTAATTAAATGTTTATTATAAACAGAATTTTTTAAAACTACATTTCAACAGTTTTAATTTAATAAAACTTAAAAAAATATAAAAATTGCCAAGACTTTTAGTGAACATTTAAAAGTAGCAGTCATTACACATTCAAGGACAATGAATTCATGTTATAAAAACATCTTAACATCAAGGAGGTTTCTAAAAATATGAAATATGCATATAAAATGATTATATTTAGATCTGTAATTTTCCATTTGATGTAACACTATGCACTTAAACACACCTGTTGTCTTCTTTCTGAGCATTGTTGCAGTTTGGCTTCTCCTCCAGGGTGAGGCTGATGTTGTCGGAGCCGTAGTAGCTGGTCCTGGGGGTGCTGGTGCAGCTGGCGCGAGCCGACAGCGGGCTGGAGCCGGGCAGCCCGGGGGAGGGGCAGCGAGACCGCAGTCTCATCGCAACCTTGTTCACCACCTTCACTGTTTCAAACACACGCCACGGGTGGGTCCTGAGAGGAGAAACAGGGCATGAGTGGGCATGGAAAGTTCTAACACAATCTACATGATTTCATTCAGCTGCCAACCTGTTAGATAAAAGACACACTGTAATTTGTCATTGTATTTTTTCAAGCTGCAGTAGGCAATCAGAATAAGAATAAAGGTGTATTGCCTTATGGGTTTTGATAACAAGAATTAGCTTTGGAGTATTGGTGCATAAATAAACACAGAAAAAAAGAAAATGGGAAAATACAAGCGAATACTGAAAAAGAAAAACACTGTCACAATATTATGACATCCTCTACTGTGACATGTCTCAATGCTTTAATGTTCACAAAGCTCTCTTTTCTCATAATCCGAACTCTGAGTCTTTATATGATTTGTTACAGTTCAGCTTATTGAAAATGTATTTTCAAAGATGTCAAGAAAGTTGACAGTTTCCTGGCCACCTAAACAATCAACCCAAAAAACGTCTCATCATATTTTCATTTGAATGTTCATAAACCCTTATTGGTGCAGGGAATTACTTTGGAAGAACAGAAAAACACACATTTGGAAATGTCTAATTTGAAACAACCCGAACTGTAAACTTGTGTCCATCACTAATATAAGGATGATAAAAGGACCTCATAAAAAAACATAAAATGTCAGACCGACCTGTACTCTGAGGGTGCGGGGGTGTCCAGGCCTTTGCGGAAGGTGCCCTCAATCTCGGCTGCCAGAGAGTCCATGGGGAGGACGGAGGCCAGCGCGGTGTAGCGCTGCACTGTGCTGTTGGGGAGGCTCTTATTCCGCAGGTTCTTGATGTCCTCTCGGGCCTCGCAGAGCATGTCCTCACACTGTGAGTACTTGTCCCGCAGGTCCTTGAGCTGCAGACAGGGGGAGACATTTCTGTCAAACTGCAGTACAAGAAGAACTGGTGTTCTCCTGTGCGTGCCAGCTCCTCCTTTGCACACTGGTAACTTTCGTGTGAGCAAGAGAACAACTTTTCTTTGTCTCCTTAGCGGCTCTGTAGAAAGGAGAGGGATCGTACTCTAAATATGTTGTCAAAGTGATTATAAGTGTCTTGCCTCTGATTGAAGATTTAGCTGGCTCTCACGGGAGGCACTCAGGTGTTGGTTCAGCTCCTCATTTTCATGTGTGATCTAGAGGGACAGGAGGAAGAGAGTCAGCAGAGCTTTACAGTGATTAGACGCCATTGATCCAGAACACAGGAGCGTCTCTCACCCCTTTGCAGCGAGCCTGCAGGTCCACGGCCTGAGCGAGCAGCGAGCTGATCTCCTCCTGCTGCCGGAAGAAGTCCTCCACTTTCCGCGCCAGCTCCTCTGACAGGTCCACCACCTGCTTATTGACAGATGCTGAAACACACAAGGCCTAATAAATACACCTGTAGCTAGTGTGTTATTTAAAACATTGAAAGAAGGCTTGAACACTTACAGAGTTCTTCCACACACACCATCATCAGCTCCTGCTCTTGCTCCTCGTAGTTGGTCGTCTCTGTTGTGAGATCACTGGCCTGAAATAATGACATCATCAAATGATCATACTTTTCACGCTAACGAAATGTTTTGTTAAACTGTAAAAACGTTTTGTAAGTGTATTTATTAGGGATGTAACGATATATCGAATATCGCGGTAAATAAATGTCTCAATACCGTCGTGAGACTGACAAAATATACCGCGATTTATTTATTTATTTGAATTATTATTTTATTATTTTTTTAAACCTTTATTCAACCAGATGGTCCCATTGAGATCATCAATCTCTTTTTCAAGAGAGACCTGTCCAACATGGCAGCAAGTAGGTTACAACATGAACATAAAACAACAGATGACAATAAAGGACATTGTATTTACAGGGCTACATGTACATACCTAGAGACATTGACAAGTACCAACAGTATATTTATATCTCGCCCTGTCAATAAGCCTCACCTTCTTGGCAAAAACTGTATTGTTTTTGAAGTGGTGGAGAGACAATGCACAGTTTGACCCACTGCTGTTGCCCATGGCCAAAGCATATCTCTCTGTCCCAGCAACATCAGTACCAAGCCAGAGAGTTTTTTCCACAGCAGGGGATATTGTACACGCCCAAACATCCCAGCTTCTACCTGGAAATGTGGACATGCTCCTATTCCTAAAAGATAACCTTGATGATGCTGAGTGAGTGAGTGAGTGAGTGAGTGAGTGAGTGAGTGAGTGAGTGAGTGAGTGAGTGAGTGAGTGAGTGAGTGAGTTAGAGTTGAGTTACTTGAAAAACTAAAGTGAAACTTGATGTATTCTATAGCAGGGTCTGATTATTATATTGTTGACACTTTAAAATACTACTATCCTACTAAAATGCTGTACAAATCAGATGTATTATTTAATAAAGAAAAAAAATTCAAGTACAAAAAATAAATAAATCGCGATATATATCGTACCGTGGACTTTTTAAATCGCGATATTATCATACCGTGAGTTTTTGGTATCGTTACATCCCTAGTATTTATCCGTGTTTTTACAAGTTCTACATCCTTTTAATGCAGTATGCAATCTTAAATAAGATTACATACTGCATTTCAAGCAGTTTCTGAAAATAAATCTTACAGTGGAGGAATATGTGCTGGATGTATAAACTAAATGAAGTCAGTTGTTCATAAAACGATGTATATTACATTAGCATTTAAAAGTCAATGAAAATCACCCAGTGTGTATGTTCCTGTGATCTCAGTGTCACACACCTCTGTTCGCAGCATGCGATTCTCGTCCTCCAGACCCTTCAGTTTCTGATGCAGGAAGTCGTAGTGGACCAAGTTGGTGAGAGAAGTGCATGACTCATTTCTTTTTATCCTACAAGGAAAGAAACATGTGTTTGCATTAGATATCTTGACAATCATTGTTTAAAGATTGTTTAATAAATATATTTGTTTCACTCAATTATTTAAAAATTAACTGAATAACTAAGCTGCTGCAATGAGAAGAAATGGACAGAGAACAATAATGAATAGAGATAATGATTAACTGCTGATGGGAAAGAGTGTTTGCTGAGCTGGAAACATTTAAAGAGGATCAGAGAGGATGTTCTGATCTATGTTTACTTTCAAAGACTCAACCCATTACCACGTTCTTTTTCAACGATTATAATAGAAAGGATGGAATTCTTTTGTGAATCAATATGAGTTTTCATTACGACACAAATGATTTTTATTTTGTTCATTATATGAGAAAAACGAGGATAGTGTAGTAAAGCACATCTTGTCAGCTGTTTGAAATTGTTTATTAAGAAACTAATAACACATTTTAGTCAAAGGCCCAATAAGCACTATGTGTGTGTGTGTGTGTGTGTGTGTGTGTGTGTGTGTGTGTGTGTGTGTGTGTGTGTGTGTGTGTGTGTGTGTGTGTGTGTGTATGTGTACCCACGGGGAACGTGATTCAGCGTTCTCGATCTCCTCGGTGCTCGCATAGAACTGAAGGAGGTCGTCTCTCATTGTCAGCTCATGGCGAAGTTGAGCAATCTTGAAATACAATATTGAATTATTATTAACTGTATAACACCACATTCATAACAAAAGCGTCTGTGTGTTTCAGTGGGTGTCAAATTTGTTACACATGTTGATTTTGTACCTCTTCCTTTGCTATTTCCAGCTGCTCATCCAGCATTTCATTGCGTGCGGTTATTTCTTGGTTCTGTTTCAGCAGGGATTGACCGATCCGCGCCGCTAGCTCGAGATCCCGCTCTTTCTGCAAAGTGATGCAACATTTCATATTATTTTAGGGAACAATGCATGATGGCGAAGCAGAACTTCATTTGTTCATAATGTGGGAGATAGAAAACCAGCATTTTGGCAAGGAGGCATAAAACTGTTATCCTTTATAATCCCGTTCATCTGCTGTGTGTCTCACCTCCTCCAGCAAGTGAGTGACCGCCTTGATGTCATGATATGTCTTGGTGACCTGGCCCACTCTGTCCGAGCACAGCACTGAGGGAGGAGAGGGGGGAGGAGAGGGGGGAGGAGAGGGGGGAGGAGAGGGGGGAGGAGGGATTTTATGAATGGAGGAAGAGCTGTATGCACACAAAGGATACTTAACAACAAAGCCTTGCTGTCTGCAAAGGCTCCAATTCAGTTTTTAGTTGTATTATGACAATAAAAAAATGATTAGCACATTCACAGATTAAAGTTTAATTTGTTTGCCACTTAAAATGTTATTTAAAAACATACCGCTGTTTCTAACCATTTCGCCAAATCACATCCCAACATGTATCTTTCTCTTTAAATTATTATTTTTTTCCAGTCTTCAATTGAATTTCTGAAAGCACTGCTCTAATGGAACGGACTAGCTCTATAATGTAGATTTGTAGATGATATCATGATGTAAACAAATGAATAAACAGATCCCAGCCTTGTCACACATATCCTTTTCCAGTGTGTATATTTCCACACACAGCCTGCAAACAGCACATTCTGTGTGAATGAGAGCCTCGACTACATCTTGTTTCTTTGTTAAGTTTCCTCCGCTACAGACCACAACCTGTCCATGCGGTCAGCCAGATACTGATCCTCTTAGCTTGATCCCTTTTAGCCCAGATAAGAGGGCAATAAAGACCTCGTTCTCCTGGATACCGATATAGCTCATCAGGAGATGCTGCCGGTGGCTGAACTGATGAAGTGTTCGTGCCAGCAGGACACGTACAGCATGGAGGGGATAACAGAGGCTGGCTATTGGCCTGCCACTTTGTTTACATCCTGGAGAGTGCTGTGTTTGGGTCCACTTCAAAGTCAATAATGGTGAAGCTCTGAAAACTTTTCATTTGCTCGTAATCTGTTGATTTCACAAAAGATTTCAGTAATAAACTATAAGCACTGCCTTATCATTTTGTGTTCCTTTTTTATACTTCTCACAATTGTAGGTTTTGTGTATTGTTTAAGACTGTGTGTAAAATGTGCCTGGACTAGTGTGCAATTCTGAATGACACTAATCTGAAATCAGTTGTGTAACCTTACTTTGGTGGTAGGCTTAGCTCGACTAAAGATATGGGAAGTTGCCATGCCGCAAAGTAATCAGATTGAGGTGCTTGAATTTGACCGGAGAAACCGTGATTGGGCGGCGTCTAATCAGACTAATGGAAAGAACCTTGGGCTGCACAGTATAGCTGTATCATGAATTATATACACGGAAATCATGTCCATCAGTCGGTGGTGATTAACGGGCAGGTAGAGGTCATGTTTCCATCTGTACTTAGCAGATTAAAGAGAAAAGCAAAAGCAAAAAGGTTTCACAGGTGATGGTGAGACCATTTTAACTCATTAAACTAATCACTAGGCTTTGCCAGACAAATGTCAGGAAGGATACATCGGATACACTAATGCAGAAGTATAGTCTGGAACACCAATATCTTAAAACTGACTATTTCATTCATGTAATTTACTTCAACACTGAATGTGAAATAGAAAGACGAATCCTGGACCACCTAAACTGCCTCCAAGATGAAGGACTTTTACAGTATATTGTCAATCCAACTTATTCAATTAAATCATAAAATAAAAGATCTTGCCGAATATGATAGTCACATTGACTCTTACACTCTAAAATCTTTCTTAATCTTTGAGCTAAAAGGATGAGAAATCCCTGATGTTCTCAGAAAAAAAGGATATTTGAACATTTATAATTATCTAACAAATCAACTGCCAACAAGGATCTTGTCATTTGCTTCAAGGCAATAAGTGTTCGTTTAGCAGTATTTTCTCAACAACTGCTATTCCGTCAACTTCCTCCTTGCCTGGTGTTTTAGCTGAAACCCTAATAAGTGCAGTTTTGAGCGTGAGCTCTTGAGGTAGTCTGAAAATATGTATTAGCATAGTTGTACGTACACACTGACGTGTATTGAGGGTGGCCCCCTATATGAACTGTGAGAGCAGCAAACAACATGACGGCTACAGCTGTCTCCATCGAGACCTGAGATACAGGTCTAGATGACATTTTTGTTAGTCATTTTCTTGACAGCTGTTCATCTGATGTGCTTCACATTGTTTGGGTTGATTGAGTATTCTCTGCCTCTTTTGTTTTTGACTGATTCATATTCAAAGTCTGGCTAACCACTAAAAGGCTGAGTGCACTGCAACATCATGTTAGCAGATACAATACTTTTACATTATCCTGTTAGTATTTTTTATTTGTAGGCTTTAATGACCATCTATTGTTGGTATTTTGCCCTACTTGTTCGTGTCCATTACGAACATTTAACGACAGAAGTAAGAATTGATGTCTGATGCTGTTTGTATTGATTATATTGTATATTTTGTTGTGGAAAATCTCAAAAAACAGATTGTTTAAAAAATTGGTATGTACCGTAGGGATTTACAGCTTGACTCTAAATTAATTAAATCATAGATATATATAAAAAAGGTACAATAGAAGTACAGTTCTCACATAATCCTAATCAACAACAGTGTAAACATGTCTATTTCTGATCATTACCATTGACTAAATGACTTTGAAACAGACTATTAATAAACATTAACTACAACCTAAATAACACGTAACTGGTTGTGTGATTGCTAAATACATTATATAAATGAACAATGGTTAATCAGATAATAGACTCCTCAAATCCTCTTGTACTTACAGTGGATTGAAGCAGCAGCTGGACGGTCAGCGGGTCACACACACACACACACACACACACACACACACACACACACACACACACACACACACACACACACACACACACACACACACACACACACACACACACACACACACACACACACACACACACACACACACACACACACACACACACACACACACACACACACACACACACACACACACACACACACACACACACACACACACACACACACACACACACACACACACACACACACACACACACACACACACACACACACACACACACACACACACACACACACACACACACACACCACACACACACACCACACACACACACCACACACACACACACACACACACACACCACACACACACACACACACACCACACACACACACACACACACACACACACACGAATGAACTGTACATCCACAAAGACTCAACTTAGTAAATAACTGTATATCTATTTCCTTTTGACCCGAGAGCAGATCAAGGAAATGGATGCTGCTTTGCCAGCTAGAGGTTTTAGGGTTTGAGTTAAGCTAAATCCAGGCAGCTACCCTGAACTGCAGGCCTAATAGTGTACATAGTGGATGAACTCTGCTGAGCTACGTATACTTATGACGTCTGTTATGTCATGGGGATCAGACAGGCAAAGAGCTTTATGAACAAGATTCACATTGATCCCATATTGATCCCTACTGTTGTGAAAGGGCAAACTTGAACAAAACTGGCAGGAGCTAACATTTAACTCACTAGTTTAATCGGTAATGATTTAAGTATAATTTAAGAGTGAACAGTCTACAGATTTCATAATGGTAACATTAATCTCACTATAAACAAGTTTTGTGTCCGATCTATTACAATTAGGTTTCAAATTAAAGCTGGATTTGAGCAAAAAGATCATATAAACACACAACAAAGCACTCGGAAACAATGTGTCCAACAGAAACAAGTGAAGTATATGTGCACTAAAAACACAGCTCCAGCAAACATGTAGAGTCTCTGTGTTGGAATTCAACACTGGAACCATACAGTTAGAGATGGAGATTCAAGAAGAATGGGGTGAGCTGTATATCCAATTTAAAGTCTCATTGCACAACAGAGGCCACACATTGGTTTGTTTGGGTGTCCTGTATGTCTGGATTGGTGCCCGTGTCGCAGTGTTTGGGTGCCAACCACGTGCCCATTTAGACAAAGAATGCCTGGTAAAGAGGAGCGATAGAGGAGGCTTTTCACAAATGTATGACATGCATGAGAAGTAGCATAGATAATGTACCGACACTCTTTGTTCTTCAGAATAGGGTTTGGGAACATTTAACAGCGGTGCATTCAAGAGCAATCAGGTCATTCAATCATTCTCATTTGTCCAATTTGATTCTCGTTTCTCAGGATTTCCAAAATTAAGATCTCTGGTTCAAACCTTGTCAGAGAAACTGGAAGCATTCAAATACGATTCCCTAGTTCTATGGCTTTGACCTCCATATACTAAAAACAAAGAAAAACACAAAATGTTCAATGCTGCCAATGACAACTGCTGACATGTACACAGAGATGGTTGTGCTGCTGCAGCGTACACACACACACACACGATCAGTGACCTTCACCACACTGAATGTATTTACAAAACTTTACCCGTCTCAGGGCACGTTCATGTTAAGCTAAAAGGAGTGTTGTGAAAAGAGCTGCAGAAACCGCCTTTTGTCGGATGTTAATCATGACTTGTATGTTGCACCTTCAATGACATCACTGCAGAACATCCAGTGCATTATAAAGTATCTAGCACTTCGATAACACAGATCTTGACAACGCAATGTAGGACAAAAAAACACCAGACAGCAGCATTTTACCTGCAGATTACAATAATTATTAACCATGACTCTTTACATAGTATTTTATGTAACTTCCTCTCTAAGCATGTAAGTCTCTTGTGCATGCCAGCTGCTTTTCCCTGTCGTCTGCATCATCACGCACCACCAACTAATCTCACCTTGTGTCACCTCCCGGCAAAGGATGTCCTTGTTGTTATTATTATTGTTATTGCTGTTAAGACATGTCTTGTCCACATCCACTACTTCATTCACAAGACTAGAAATGCTCTTGTCTTCTTCCTCCACCTCGGATGCAGAGGAGCTCCACACCTCCATGGTGACCGGAGAAAAAGTGTCCTCCGCCTCTCCGTCCATCGGTTAAATAAATCCCAGATAATCTTCAGATAAATTACTGTGAATATCCTGCGCTGTCACACACCAACTGTGTCTGCGGCATGATTCTGCTGGCCTGTGTGTTTTGGTACAAACCAGCCTACGTGAGGGAGTGTGTGTGTGTACCTGTGT